TGAAAAGGTGCGAGGGATCTTCTGGCCGGAGCGGACATGATGAACATATATATATATATATGAGCCACGGTCAAAACATGCGAAGACCACTTTAGTAAAGAGGGGTAGGTTTGTGCCCCAAACCCTGCAAAACAATATGGTCCACCTCAAAACCAATAGCCCCAGCGCTGTATATGATCGAAAGTATGCGACGAACTCAAAACGCTGTAAAACGATAAGGTCCAACTCAAAACCGATGACGTCCATTTTTTAGTTGAAGAAGAATAAGGAGTTTTGACCGTCCCTCACATGTACAACAATTCTATAATATCGTGGGATCCAGATACCGAGTCCAAGGACAGCTTGTACGTCAGTCAGTCGGTCTGGACCGCATCTCTTTGTGATACCTGACCCTAACACAGACACTCCATGGGATTGGATTCTTCGCCTACATTGATGTCTGAAACCACCCCAGGCAAATATGTCATCATTAGTGCCATCATTGCAGTGTGGTAAGGGTCGAGGACTATCCGTTTCTCGGATATCCAGTTAGTTCCAGTTCGACCTTCTCTGGAAGTACGTGATATACCCACTGGCCTGTCAGACTCAGACCGAAAAGGAGGTACCGCAGGATCTGCTGTATGTTTCCGACAAACAGCGTAGCTTTAGAGGTTCCATGGAACAAGTTACCCCAAGTTGGGTGGTTTACAAGGACCCCTATGTAAAAGACTGTGCCAGTGCCATCTACTCTGAAACCACTGTATCTGAATATGTTTGATGGGTTACACCCAGGGCTCCAGGGGTGAAAGTAGACAGAGCGGTTTGACCAGGTCTCGCAGCAAGCGGCTTTAGAAGGCTTGGAGGCGCGGAACCTCGCTGCCGATCCGTGCAAGTCAAGCAGTATCTGACATGTCATCCGTTCATGACACCGTTCGGACCCCACAACGTGGCAAAGACGCCAGAGAGAGAGAGCAAGACGTATTGTAAAATCGATCGTTGTTTAGAGAATGGTTTATGTTTCTGTGCAGCAATTGTTGGGTGCAATTCACAAGAACAAGAAGAGAGAGAGAGAGAGAGCACACTCTAGAGCCAGATCAAGTACAAGGAGAACAGCAACAACAAGAAACAACCACCACCGACGACAACTATATGCTAACCATTACTAACCAAGACATGACCATTTATCGTGCTTGTGCATTTGGTTGACGATGTGAATGAAGTGAATATAGTTACTTGGTCCAGCTGCTGTAGTAGATTCTGTAGGCGCATGGGATTTGATTCCTTTATATTCCTGTCAGTTCAAGGTACCATAGTTATGACGCAAATGATTTTGGAAGCTTTTGGCTTCTGGATTGGATCCCAAAATGATCGATCCTTGAGAGGCTTGAAATGTAGACGATTCACTTTTGGAGGTGACAACTGTTGGAGCCAAGCAATATATAGGCTTTCAGGCACACATGGGTGGGTTGTAAGATAGATCATCCAATTGGATCCGCGCATCCACCATACCTCAGGTTCGGTAAGACTGGACCCGACGTTTTGGCACCTACATAAAAGTGTTTTCTAGCTATCACCTTCTCAGAGAGTGGCAGTGGATCCATTATTTTGTGCAAACTCACTGGATCTCAAATCGATACATCTGAATTGTCAAAGGGTTCGCTGTTGGGCTTGTATTTTCTCAAAGTGTTTGTTGGCCCTGTTTCTTGGAATCCTCCATCGCCGTGCGCTTGGTGTAGATCCCAGCCCTTTGTGGAGGATGTGAACGGCGTTGATGATGACGGACTCCCTTTGATCTACTCCGTGGAACGCACCTTGGGCCCGACCGTTCGACCGCCGTCGCTCCACCCTGGCGTGGCCGCGGGACCGGTGGTCAGCGGGCGACCGGAGTCTGGGAGTCTTGCATGACCGCAGGGACCGCAGGGACCAGCAAAAGAGGAACAGTGTGCATGGTTGTGTTTGTTCGTATGTTGCACCTGCCATTGCCTAGGTGTTGATGTGAGATGATGTGAGCATGGTCTGCAATTGTGCCAATCACCTGATTGCACGAGTTCTTGTTCTCAAAAAGCTGCGACGCGGCAAGGTTTTGTGGACACTCAGGGTGAACTGGCTCTGTGGGTGACTGGTTCGTTCAGCTGAGGTATTGCCAAGTTCTGGGATGCTTGGCAGCTGAGGGTGGGGCCAAGGTTGCGTTTTTTTTAGCAACTTGTACTATAATCAATAGTGGTTCTTTAAATACATCAACGAGGGAGTCCTTAGTGCATAAATCTGAAACCAGTTCTGCCCATAAGGGACCGCTCAGGGTGCCATTGGAACAACTAATTGCTTGCCCCTGAATTGTCGGAGATGTGATGCAAGATTGGTCGAAGACATCAAGCATTGGAAATTGCTTGCCCCTGAATTGTCGGAGATGTGATGCAAGATTGGTCGAAGACATCAAGCATTCCAATGCCCAAACACTCCATGGGACTGGACTATTTGCCGCCCCATTGACCCTCCAAGTACCGTGAAAAATAGGTATGAAGTACCAGTTTTTATAGGGCATGTCCCACTTTCTAGGGTACTTGAAGTCGGGTCCAGGTACATTGACCCCATGTCCAGTCCCAGATAAGTGTCTTTAAGAAGGACGTGGACTGCTCCGGAGGACTGTCGCAGTAGCGACGTAGGTCCCGTCCCTTTCCCCAAACCGAAAGCGAGGAGCGACGTGATCCAAATCCTAAGGTGGCCTGAGAAGTGGAACCCCTCGTGGAACATGCACAGGTGATATTCCTTCATATGACAGAGCAGAATCAAATTCATTGGAGTGTGACAAGATCTCTCCAAAATGGTCCAAACATGTCCACGATCCAAATCCATGTGTTCCTCTCCGAAACACTATTGTTTCTCATCTAGAAATGCAGCTCAGATAATTACGTGGCATCAGGCTTTGAACCCTGTTTTCAGATGTAACATCTCTCCTGTGCCATCCATTGATATCCATTGATATCCATTGGCTCCAACAATCCGCCGGCTTTTTAAGTGCCATCCATTTGCGGAACACGCCCCACGACGTCCCCCCCGTGGTCCCCCCCCGTGTCCCCCCCGTGTCCAGGACACCAAGCCCGGTGATCTCGCCGAGCGCTGGAGCCGCTTCCTGAGGCGTGAGACGAGACCGAGACCGGTTCGGACGGAGGTACCTGGATTTTATGGATGGTCCGGTATGAGAAAACAATGCCTACCATTGGCCCCTGAAAGCAGCTCCTTCAAGGTATTCGAAGCATGGCATACATGGAGAGTCTGGGACATACATGGATTGCAGGTCAGGTCACCTAAATAGTTGGAGAATTGGGGAGTGTTCCCCCACAGTGTCCAACCACACTCGCAAGAAGTTCAGAAAGTGTTTGTTCCTCTTTGTTCCACAAATCTCGAGGCTACAGTGGCTACAACGTTTCCTTCCCCCTACAACCTCCAAGTATAGACGCCGGATCCCTAGGCCGATAGAGGCCCTAGATGGCCCTAGGCAATGCTTTCATGATTAACCCCGACAAATGCGGCAAATTGGTGGCTCAAAAAGTGGATCTCTTCGGTTTTGGTCACAGATCCAAGTTCCGTGGGAGAACCCCAAAACGACCAAACCCAGTGGGTCAACACACCAGTTTAACCCGTCCTTTGGACTTGCTGGGAAAAAAAAAGAACACTACAAAACTCTCGCTTGACCTCCCTCCGTCGCTCGCGACTTGGCTTCCTTCGGCACTGCTACGGCTGGAGGATCTCAACGCCCTTCATTACGCGGTTCTTTTATTCCTTGCTGAACGGACGGCTCTGGGAAGATGAAGCCAGCCTAGCCAGGCAGGCGGTGGACAACATGCAGGACCGAAGATTGATTCGATTCCCGCGCGGACGAACGCGGCTTCGTTCGGACTGGCCTTGATCTTCGCTCGCCTGCCACCGACTCCTCGCGGGACCTTCCCAAGAGAGGTTGAGTGTAACCTGGGGTACCCAACTGGGATAGTCGAACTAGGACCACTAGGGTCCCTGAACCTCTGGACCCGACCGCGCCAGGAGTTGGGCCCGACCTTTGTGAAGTTGGGACAGGTCCTTTCCATCCGCCCAGACGCTCGACCACGCTCCGCGTGGTCGTGCGTTCGGATGCCGTGGTGCAGTGGGCTGGCGGAGTCACATGGTTTTAGTACTGAGTAGTCCAGCTTCTTCAGTCATGGTCCAGCTTCTTCAGTTCGGTCCAGCTTCTTCAGTTCGTGACCTTTTGAAGGTTCCTTTTCGTGACCCGGAAAAAGGAGGCTTGTTCGTGACCGAACCAACCAGGTTATCAAAAGGTCACTTTGAAGAAACAGGGTGATGGTTTCAGAATGTTTCAGATATGTTTATCTTCTACCTTTACTTGATGTACCAACAATGAGACTCCAGGTACTTTGAGACTCCAGGTCTGTTCACCGTCTGAGTTGGTGTACTCGCTCTCTTAACCCTGGCCGCAGCTTTATGGGACATGAGATGAGAATAGATGAGATTTAATAAACCACTGTACTATATATAAATTAAAGGTTTTAACAAGTTGAACCCTTAGCAGGGGATGTAAGGACACGGGAGAAATGTGAGGTTGGTACATTTCAATCATGGCTCCTGAAACAGGAGGTACTGGAAGACGATTCCTGCAAAGTAAGCGGACAAGGGGCATTGGCAAAACCACCACCCACTCCAACAACAACAACAACAACAACAACGACATAAACAATGACAACAAAGAATGACAGGCACCAATGCACCAGGAAGAGGAACAAATGGAGCAAAACCCAGTCGCAGAGCACCCACAGGTTCGACTCCAGCTGAGGATGTCTTGCCACCCAAGACCATGAAGGAGCTCTCTCGTTTGCAGGACGGCTCCCGTTTGGACCGACGCCATGATTCCAGCGGTGTTTTGATCGAGTTCTGTGTGGCTTCAGAGATGAAGTCCTTTCCTGGAAAAGCGAGCAACTCTTCACCCTTTTGGGGGATGGTTTTCCCCACTAAACATGGAAGAAGCATGAAGAAGCAGGTTAACCTTGAATGATTTTCCAAAGAAATTGAGGGAGTCAGCAAACTGGTCAAGGGGTCGGGCTTAGAGATTCAAATCAACTCGGTCTTGGACCAGATCGATGGATCGGCCTCATCGATTTGGTGTGCTCTTCGTCGTTGCGAGGGCTGACCATCGAAACGTCAGCTGTTCATTGCAGGACGATATCGAAACCTTCTCCAACGAAGAAGCCCGCAAGGTCATCGAGAAGGTCCCGTGGTGATGGAGACGGGCAATCGAGAGCCCAGGGCATGCCAAGGGGAAAGGGTGTGTGGATGTGATTGGATGTATATATTGTGTATTTAATACGGGGGACCTTTTGTCCTTTTTTGCCACTCATAGGATCCTTTCAGATGGGGACCATCACCAGCACTGCGCACAGCGAGAGAGAGAGAGAGAGCACGGGTCAGTTTCAATAGGCTTCTTGGAGCTACAACCCTTAGACTTTCCTGGTGGATAACCCAATGCGAAGCGATTTCAGCGTGGAACACGAGCTGATGCGACAGACTCGGGAAGCACCAAGCTCGCAAGCTGCTTCAGCAGACTATAAGCTGTTGAAGGTGCGGGAAGATCGGGATTTCGACCAGTCCACCATGGTCCACGCTTCATCGACCCGTTTGCAGTCTCCTCGTGCCGTCTTCGTGCCAGTCTCCTCGTGCCAGTCTCCCCTCCCCACAGGCATTTTTGGTTTCTGAGCTATTCCTAGTGCATCCCAGTTATCACTATATAAGGAACCAGGGATTCTAGGTCTATGGTGTTAGTCTTTGGAACCACTGGTTACCAGCCATAGGGGTAACTGGATGCCCTGGGATTGTTTATGTCATGAAATTTATGTTTGAAACCCTGAGTTGGACGGCCAGCAAGAATCACTTACGCTCAGCTTGGAGAGAGGCCCTCCAAATGGCAGAGGGAACGCTAATGCTGGTGGGTCACAGGCGATTGACATTTGGATCAACCACCATTGCCTCAACAATATGGACAAAACATGAGCACTGCCTGGTGATACCATGGTGTTCACAACCACCAAAAAAATGGGGTGTGCCCCACATCTACATGGTTTTCTCCCCCGAAGGAACACGCCGTTCCACCAGACCAACGTGGCTTAGAAATGTTCCCGCTTGTGCCGAGCCGTGCCGAGCCGTGCCGTCTGCGGTCTGGAGTCGTCTCTGTCGTTCAGCTCACGACCTCGTCTCGGGCGCAGAACATCACGTTGCTTGCAGGAGATGGGAAAGCCCTTGGATGAGATCTTCTCCACCTTCTCCGAGGCGACTCCGGGATCGTCCGAACGACGAGACTGGTCTCAGGTCGGTCTGGGACTCCGGCTCGAGGGCTGGCGCTGGCGTTGGGGTTCTGGAGGGGTGACCAGGTGGGTGGAACCGAACAGGTGACCTGGGGTGGCTGGGGAATCTGCTGGGATCAGATGGAGCAGGATGTGTTCCTTAGGTGCCTTCCTTTTGTTGCATCTCCTCGGGCCCTGTTTGCTTTGACACCTAAGACTCACAAACAGAGAACAACAAAGCAATGAAACAGTACTACATGAACATGCCAAGCACTACTTACTTAAAGTGGTTTTGGAGGTAGGATGGCACTTGGTGGAGGTCTAGATGCCATTTGTGTGACCCTTGTCGAGCACCTGCCGTGTGGGATGAAGATCCTGCCTTCCGGGCCTATGCGGAAAAATGAGTGGCTTGTGTTGTCAGAACTTGTAGGAGTGGGTGATGTCCAAAGTACCACATGATACCACATGCCTTTGGGTTAACTTGAGCCTGAAGACCACGGGTGGCTCAAGCCATTCCATGCGCCGAACCATGCCTCCCCAGCCCATGCCGTCCCAGGAGCCCATCGCCGCGGCCTCGTTGGCGCAAGTCTATCGCGCGACCTTGCGTGAGACTGGGGAAGAGGTCGCTGTCAAGGTGCAGAGGCACTGTCCACCCACGGACGTCACACACGCTACCGCGCGTTTGTCTCACCCATGCAGACTGCGAGCGCGACCACCGAGGGTGTTGTTGGAGCGCGGTACCGAGGGTGGTGGGCTGATGGGGAAACTGGGGCAGTTTGCGCGAAGACGAGTTTGCGACTTGTTTGCGGAGGAACAGTCAGCAGTTGAAACATAGTAAACATCCTTCAGTCAATTGAATCAAGTTGACCTGGACCCTCCAGTTCGTACCTTAGAAAATTCAACATGATCCCATAAAAGAGGCACGACTGAGGCCATTTGCCGAGATACTTTCACAGGTCGACTCCAGGTATTTTTGTTGCTTCACAACATTCCTTTCTTGTGGATGTCGGCAAATCCTGCCGTCCGGCTCGTTTTCTTTTCATGTTCGCTGCCGAGACCCGCCAGGCCAGGTGCTTTGAACACCGTCTCGAAGGACTCTGACTGGCCCGGTGGTCGTCCGAGGGAGCAAAGGTAACAAAAGGTCAAAAAACAAACAACAACGGTTACGCGCTTGTTGATTTTCTGGTTTATCTCCAGTCTCTAGGGAGCTGAGGTGTGCAAAGGTGTGAGGGGGACCTGAAAGTGTTCAGAAGATTCTGAAGCGTGTGGGAAAATCTAGACCTACAAAGTCATAAAAGTGGAGACTCTATCCGATTCGGTTACTATATACTTTTAGAATCTTTTAGATACTCTCAGACTCTTAATGACTCTTAGACCATGACCTTTTACCATGGTTTCCATGGTTGCTTGTACCTACTTGTACGGTTATGCCATAAAAGCTGGGACGTTTGGACACGGATTGATGCATAGAATCCGATGCAGCCGATGCAACCAGGACCTCTACGTGCTCCGCCGCCTGGCCGACGTGGTGCAGCCGCTCATCCGCCGCTTCACCGCCGATGAGACGGACGAGAAGATGGGGGGGGTCGACGGACTGGGGGCGCCGGTGGTGCCACGGTGGTGGTGAGAGAGAAGAGAAGAGAAGACAAGAGACGAGACGAGACGAGAGGAGATGAGATGAGAGGAGAGGAGAGGAGAAGAGAGAATAACTAACTGAAAACCCATAGACTGCAAGAATGATCAAGAATGCATTCGATACAGAGAAGAGAGAAGAGTGCATCTCGATCTAGATCTAGAAATTTGATGAAATTTGGTCGGATGTTTCTGCGCGTTTGACAAAGAGGTGCAATTTATATATATAGAGAGAGAGAGAGTCTGGACTGACTCTGTCATGGTCTCTTTCTGAAGATGGCAGTCGAAATTAGCCTTGCCTGTGGGACAGATGGAACTCTTGAAGAAATGGATATCACATGATTCATCACTTTGCCTCGATCCAATGGCCCCAAGAAAGCAACACACAAAATGACAGGCCACTGAGAAGGCCATAGCAGCACATCATAGCTTGAAGCAAGCCATGATGACACAGCCAACCCAACTGAAGCCCAGGGTAGATCGCACAAGGGAGGGCTGAACATCCAGGCACCACAGAATTAAATGAAATAATGCACTTCTTTTTGTTCTGGGATTTCGGCCCTGAACCTCAGTCCCCATCATTGCTTGGTTGGTGAGTTAGTTCTACTCGCTGTTCAATGAATCAGTTGAGTTTCCTGGGGAAATCCAGCGCCTTGCCGCTTCACCGCTCGCTGCGCAAGAGCCTCTAGACCTGCGGAAGTACGTGGATCACCTCCAAGTCGACACCCCACTTTTAAGGTGGACACATTCGCTTTTCCGCGGATCATTTGCTCGTGAGTGGGGATATCCCGCTAGTGGAAGGACCAGCTCTTACTCTTCTTTCATGACCATTTGATTTGGTTTTGGAACAGTGTGGGGCTTTTCTCCCCAGTTGTTCAATGTTCGTTCCCTTTTTGAAACCAATCCGGGATGGGTGATGAATGAAATGCCATGAGGCCGAACCCGACTCCAGGGGGCGAAAACGGTCGGCTGGTCGGCTGACGGCAGGACTACATCGCACTGACCGAGACCTTTGCAGAGGGCCTCTACACCGAGCGGCTCGATAGGGAAATTCCTTTTCCCAGGCACTGGAAGTGAGGCTGGAAGGTGCCGCTTCTCAATCCACCCCAACGTACACTCCATGGCACTGGCAAAAAAAAAGGATCACACTGGTGTGGGTTCAGGGGTAAATGTAGGCATATATTGTAGGCATATATATTCCATGCATGGAGTGTATTGGGTAGGTACATCATAGTAAACATGTGCCGTACATGGAGTGTTTGGGCTTGGTTGGACTGTCTTTGTTGAGCTCGGGGCTCGCATGTTGCCTTATGCTGTTCCAGCGTCGGCTGAATGGTGGTGAAAATTACTGAGAGCCACATTCAGCCTCACACAGGGAGTGCACCTCCCTGTCCCACCGTCCCTGTCCCACCGTTCGTGGATAACTCTCGGCGCGAGCCGTTCGCCTCTGAGATCCTCTTAACGACTGTTCCGGGAAATCACCGCTGAGTCGCTGGAGATACCAGCACCACCGGGGTTTGGGTGGTTTATAGACACCCCTGACATACCCCTTGACTACTAACATCTACTAGTACTACATATATGCGTGTATATAATATAATATATGTTCCTTCCAATAACCACCCGAAATGGGTGGTGCTGGAATTGATTTGTCCTGTAACCAAACTCCTGGAATGAAGAATCTCCTCAACCCATCCATCACATGACACATGTCTATTCACATCCCCCTTTCAGACGCACGAAAACCGCAAGACTCGAACAGCGCAAGAGACCGTCTCCCCTGATGCCCCCCCCCCGCAGAGAAGGGTTTTCCTAAGGAAGAAGGCGCTGCACTGGAGAGGGTTTTTGGCAACGCAGGTTGCCCCACATGCTGCCTGAAAAGAGAAACGCAGCTCCGCCCAAGTAGCTCAGCTCTGGTGAGGTTGGATTTCCGGAACGAAGCCTTGAATGCCTTGCGCATGGAGGAGTTGCTCAAAGACAGCCTCGGTCCCTCAGCATCCTGCTGTGTTTCCGTTGGGGGTACTTTGATCCATGTGGGGGTAGGGTAACTCCAGCCAGGTCACTTTTGGCAACCATCGAAGCTCTTCGAAACACCTGGATTCAGGTGGTGTGAAGCTAAACTGCTGGGTTCAGGTGGTTGGAAGCCAAACTCCGGTGGTTCCACAGGAGTTGTTCCCCACCTGCCAGGTGAGGGTTGTTAGATTTTATGACAGTTGTTCTTCCTCCTTCCTTCCTTCCTTCCTTCCTTCCTTCCTTCCTTCCTTCCTTCCTTCCT